TTAACAATATAGTCTTTACGTTTAACAAAATAGTCTTTACTTTTTTTAAACAATTAATACAGTCTATACGTTTACAGTATAGTCTAAACGTTTTAACATTATAGTCTATACGTGAACAATATAGTCTATATGTTAACAATATAGTCCATACGTTTTAACAATATATCCTATACGTTTTAACAATATAGGCTATACGCTTTAAAAATATAGTCTATACGTTTTTTAACAATATAGTCTATACGTTTTTTTTTTAAAGAAAGAAGGTAGCATGCAAGGGGCATAACAAACATATGTCGAAGAAAAATAAAACATCATATTTTCCAAAAACAACGACAGTCTCGAAAACACACAGAGAAAACTTAAAATGGAGCAACACGAACCACACCAAAAATCAGTCAATAGAATAAAACAGTTATATTTATAAGTCTATTCTTTTAATTAACAATGGTAAAAAATCGTACACTTTAAAAGTGTTCTTCTTCATTCTACAATTCGTGTGAGCGACATGGCCCGATACAGTGGCAATTTAATACAGTCTTGTATGCTAAGTTGGAAACGGAAAGGATACCCATTACCAATACACCTTATCGTTATTTATATACATTGTATATATATTTTATATTTCAGGATTCATAAAAGCGTATATAAGAACATGTTGTGATGGGATTAACTGGTCGTTTGATACAAAGAAGTTAAAAAAACTGAAGTATATCCAAAAAAACAACGATTCTCTGTGTCAACATAATACAGAAAGTCTCACAACAACTTGTGTTACAATGTGTCGAGGAAATTTCTGTAATGGACCAACCTCTGCGGCGAAAAATTTACATACATATAAAACTTTGAAATTATTTGCGTTCATATTTTTCTATATGGTTTTTCGTAATCATGACACTTGAGCGGTATGGTGATACAACTGACAAATCAAAAGATGTTTCTTAAAATTAAGCATTTATTAGTGTTATACATGGACTGTCTTATCAAATATCTCTGAAGAAAGTTTCACAATTCCACATCAGTGAAAATATATATACTTCTGAATAAAACAAATTAAACAAGTAACGCAAAAATGGTTTCTTAAAAACCGCCATTACTATAATGTTTTAGTTATACAGGGTTTCAAATTCAGAGATGAATATTAAAAGAGACGTGGAATATAATTATGGCTACTTCGGAAATATTTGATATGACAGTTCTAGGTTATGAAATATTGAGTACAATTAAAAAATGCTCAAAGTACTTGTACTTCCTTACTTTGATTTTTGTAAGTTATGTAGATCAGATGACAGACACTCTGTCTTATTCTCTCGAATCAGTTGTTTGCTATTTTGTCTATGTATATTTATTTTTCAGATTAATAAAATATGAAATCTAACATGTTTAATTAGAAAATGTACACATAACTATATGTACAATACCAGAAGTCCATCCCTAATAATGGACTTCTGACTATACATGCATAATAATACTTATAAAAACTAATTACCATTTCAAATCAGCAACAGTCATTAGATGTTTACGGGTGTGACTTATGGACTTCTTATTATACATGCATGATAATACTTATAAAAACTAATTACCATTTCAAATCAGCAACAGTAATTAGATGTTAACGGGTGTGACTAATGGACTTCTGACTATTCATGCATGATAATACTTATAAAACTAATTACCATTTCAAATCAACAACAGTCATTATATGTTTACGGGTGTGACTAATGGACTTCTGACTATTCATGCATGATAATACTTATAAAATCTAATTACCATTTCAAATCAGCAACATGCATTAGAATGATGTTTACGGGTGTGACTAATGGACTTCTGACTATTCATGCATGATAATACTTATAAAAAACTAATTACCATTTCAAATCAGCAACATTCATAAGATGTTTACGGGTGTGACTAATTAAGCATTGCTTACACGTCGAAAGCAATGCTGTTAATGTCCATGAAGTGTTTTTGGTTTAAGTTTATGCTTACACGTCCAGAGCAATGATGTACATGTCCATTCAGTGTTTGGGGTTATTGTTTATGCTTACACGTCCAAATCAATGCTGTTAATAACCATGCAGTGATTTCTGTTTTTTATTTTGCTTACACGTCCAAAACAATGCTGTAGATATCATTGAAGTGTTTTGAGTTTATGTTTATGCTTACACGTCCAAATAAATGATGTTTATGTCCATGCAGTGTTTGTGGTTTATGTTTATGCTTACACGTCCAAAGCATTGTTGTTAATGTACAAGTAGTGTTTTGGTTGATATGTATGCTTACACGTCCAAAGCAATACTGGTAGTGTCCATGCAATGGTTTGGATTTATGCTTATGAATCTTTATTGTTCTATTTTATGTTCAGTGGATACATTTTTATCTTTTTGCATTTTATTTCTTTTGGACATGGTGCAGTCTGTCTTTCGATATTATTATGTTATACTTAAGTAATTAGTGCCCTCCTTGAGAACCACATTTAAGATCAAGGTACAGTACATGGGCATTGTGAAGGATTTTGGTAAAATTTTGTATACAACTTTGGCTCGTTGAACTTAACTGAAAGTCGAACAAAAATATTTATCTCTTTTATTTTCCAAAATTATTACTGGATGAATTCTTTTAAAAGTTGGTGAATACATTTGTATAGCTAGCACACAAAATCGGCGAAAAACGTTTTTAAATTTGTCTTAAATAATCAAATCTCTAATAACAAATCCATAAATTTTTCTTAAAAATGATATGTTGTTGATACATAAATTTACGTTCTAATGATGTAGAATAAATTAATAAGGTCACGTGGTGTCATGTGTGAAAAAAAATCCACAATACGTCTCTGTAAAACGTCGATCTTTGACGGTTTTTATTACCATCTAGGTAACAGACTGGTTAATACACTAAAAACAAAGTCGGTGAACCTAGTATGATTATTTTATATCAATGAAACGGAAATTTTCTGTACCAACAACACAAAAATTAAAAAAAAAATCTATGGATTTGTAAGCGGCCCGGCTGATGTAGACGGCCATCACACCCCGGCTATCCTACCTCTTCCAATTCAATACATTTTATGTACGTACGGCCTTAGAGAAAGTGGTTGTTTCTGATGATTGACAGACAAGCCTGCTGTAATATTAAATGTTATGTAACAACGTTTAAAGCTTGAATAATGAGTTTAATTTGAGACTTACAGAGAAATATCCACTTGGTCATCGTTGTATTCCTAAAATATACCAATTATTTTTTTCAACACAATCGAGATTCCTACTTTCTAATTTACAACAGATTTCGACGAAACTTTAATAAAGGACTATGGCATTCTGATTGATTGAGAGATAAACAGCATTTCTAATTTCCGCACATTTATGTCGAATGGTGATAATGATTTGCTTCTATTTCTTTTAACTAATACAGCAGACAACACTCATGGTACAATCGTGAGGTATACTGTTCTTTTAAAAGAAGTTAAAATCATATATAATATACATGTGTATATAAGTTTTATGTCATAATGTTATGTCCTTTCAATTTTAATTTTTAAACAGTTTTGTGGGCTTAATCGCATTATCTGCTGTAGTACTATCACTAATAATGTAAGAACAGTGGAAAACAAAACTATTCATCAAACAATTTAACAATGGTAAATAAATTTTCCTTGCTCTCCTAATATGATAGCTATGCAGCTACATCATCCATTCCATACAGATAGTACTGATTCAGTGAGTGTACGACTGATCTATCACGTGATAGACAGGTCTCGTACAGCTAATAAGTTTGATAGTTATTCACAATAGGCATTGACTTTGTCCATGAACCATATCTACAACTGTTTAGTTTTGATAACGGAATCATTAGAGGTGCGCTTTGCGGGAATTATATTATTTTCGTAATCAGTATCTTTCAGTTGGAAAACAGGAAATACATTTTGTACTTTATAGTGTGGAACTTTTAAAAGTATAATTTCTACAGACCAAAAATGGCCATCGTGCGAACATACTGTGATGGATATGGATGGTTCTCATTAAAAAAGGACAAATCAAGTCAATTATCACTTTTAATATTGATGATTCAGAAAGGAACGTACGATTTGCGTTGTACATATTACAATATCAGTGAAAACACTATTGGTGTGACAATTTGCGAAGGGAATTTCTGCAATAAACCTACGTCCCAATTAAGACACGTCCATTCCCTTTTCAAGAGTACTTGGCTTATACATTTTACAATTAACGCTGCTTAATTTCTGTATAAAGTAACAAGATAAGACAATGAGAAGCATAGATTGCACATGGTTTCTTCTTCTGTGTTGTTACGGTTCTAACATAAAAAAAAGTCTGTCGACACATACAAATAAGGTATATATAAAAAAATAATTATAACGTTTGAATATGATTTTAAAAATACGTTCAGACTACGTCTTTAATCGAAAGCGGTTGACAAAAAATTCCTCGGTATATTTTTTCTTTTCGAATAAATGTGAATAGATTATCGTTTGCGTGGAAAAAGTTTATATGGGTGTACATCAACAATCATTTGTTGTCAGAAGCAGTATGTTCCAGGGTCAGGGGGATCATATTGTTCACAAGTTTTCGAGTTTTTTTTTAATTTCCATATGGTTAGGGTTCACTCCTTACATGGTTATGTATATAATCTCAACATTGAGGATATTATCTGTATTGTCTGCCATGAATGAAGGACGAACCATTGTACCCACAAGTAACATATTCGTCTTCGTGGGACTCTTTTTAGCTTTTACATGACAAATTTTTGCTTTTTTCATTTTTGTGCAAGTTTCCAGACGTCCCTCCTTTCTTAAATATACATTTAAAACTCTTGCATACTTCATTAATGGGTGTACTGATATTCACTTGTTATACTATGTAAATTTTAATGTGTATATATTGAACGGTTTAGCGAAATATGATAGTTTATGCATGTATTCCTATAGTATTTAAATATTTATTCTATTGTTCCTGTTTAAAAGGTTTAGAATTACGAAATGTTTACCGAGAAGTCTTTTGAGTGGAAAGCATCGAGTCGTAACATACACATCATAACGAAACAACTACCGGGTTTGTAACACCCTATGTTCTAAAAACCGTAATTAAAAATGGCAGTGTAAGATGGCGAAAGTTGTTCTTTGTTTATCTGTTATCGCTTTGCTTAACTCCGGTAAGTATATCTAATATTGTTCACTTTGCGTTTTTACCATTTTAATAGATAATTTAGATTGACTTGAGTAGATTCAAGAGATAATTACATATAATTTTACTTCTTCGTAATGTTCTGGTGAATGTAAAAAAAAATCGGGATCTTCGAAGCTATATAAAATTGAAAATATCCAGTAATACCTATTTTGTGATGAAATTATCATATCACCATAAAAAGATATCCTTTCGTGCTCACCTGGCATAAAAGATACCTTTGGTTTATTTAGATGTTTATATAAAGATAAGAAGATGTGGTAATGATTGCCAATGAGACAACTCTTCACAAGAGACCAAACATGGTTATTGAAAGCTAGTCATTCGTCTACCAGAATGCTTCTTGGTCCTTAAATTCTCTAGATTTTAATAATTTAGGAAGGGGTCTTTCAGCAATTTGACTTTATGTGGTGGAAAATCATTATATTGCATTTAATGACGTTTGATATAAATAATATTGTTTGTACTATGTACATATTAATGTTATATTTCAGTTGTCGGAGTAAGTGACTTCTGTTTCCAATGTAGAGACACTTCTGATGCAGAAGGTAAAGATGACTGTCAATCTGAAACTAAAGGAATGCACGGCCTGCATTATACGTATAAAACTGAATATAGAAACAAGAGTGATGACTTTTTGAAAAAATACGGCAAAGATCCATTGGTGCAGGACTGTCGACAGTACCACAAATATGGGATGACACATTGTTGCATAGAAGAACTAGAAAGATTAGGTAAAATTTGTGAATACTGAAAGAAAATTAAATATCTTCAATGAGACAGCCACCCAACGACAAAAATAATCAAAATACTTATAAAGTCTTCAACAACAGACATGTTCTATGAAATGACAGGCTCTAAATTGTCATAAGTTGGGTCTAAATTCTGCATGTCCTCTTCAACAAATGTATAAGATTTTGGATTTTCAAATATGTTGGCCTCACGCATCACTGAAGAGACATCAGTTGTCGAAATGCGCATCTGATGCAGTGAAATTGGCAATGTAAATGTTATTGTAAATGTTATTGTAAATGGAGTTAATAGAAATAATCAAAGATCTGCCATTAACACTCAATTCTTAAAAAAGCGGGAAAAAACATCAAGATATGTGACAAGATATTACGACAACTATCTCAACCCTCCCCTTTTTAATCTCACATTTTGTCTATTTTGTTCTATTCAATACGTTCCTGGCTGTTTCTATTAAATTATGCCACAATTTGTTATTTTTTGGAATGTACAGATTTGCTTGAAATATGTAAAAACACAAAAGGTGATCGTGTGTGCATTTTTATGTCATTTTTACTTTTGACTTTATTTACTACAACTCTTTGTATGCAGAAAGGCAAAGGAAAGTTTTATAGGAATTGTATGTATTTATTCGTTATCATATTGCTATACAGCTTTCAGTATTTATTATTACAAGCCATCTTTGTCATCCATTACTTTCAGTAACTATAAATCTTCAGGGCCAATGTTATATAATGACTATGTTGTGTAGTTAGAATCCCTTGACTTAACCATGTCCAAATGATTGTGACAGGGTTGTAACTGTTGCTTAACGAACCCTTGCATCGATTTAGTAATGACTGGATGATAACGGATGAAACCAGACTATATTTTCAAATCAAACGTATGTACATGTTTTCTTAAAAATAATTTAAAACACTAAAAAACAAAGCACTTGAGAACACAGCTATATGTCCACAAATCATTTGATATCCATTCAAACAGATGCTGTATTTCCTGAGTGTTTCAAATAATGTCCACTATTTGAAATCTGAAAATACATAATAGTTATGCGACAAAATACCAGTATACAATATGGTCTTTTTTTCTTGGGTTGTGTAGTTTTGCATTTTACACTGTCACTGTAGACGTTTCTAATTTGATAAGATGTTACCACAACAAACACCTGCCATTTATAGACAAAACTTGACGTCATGTAATATTGATTGATTGGTTTTTGTTTGATTAAATAACGTCATTACATGTATATTTTGGATGGCTGGAGAGTTGTATTATTGGCACTCATACCACATCTTCTTATATCTATATTCAGTGAGAGAAATTATTACTTATCAATACAATAGGTAGGGCCTGCAAGGCAGTCCGACGGCAAATCTGGATTGCCACTAGAGATAAAGGTATGGTGGATAGGAACATAATTTGCCATTGCATGTAACAATCCATCTACGGCCATAACGTACCAACAAAGAGTTGTTGCAAGGGTTCTTAAACGTACAGAGAACGTGACAATCTCGCAATACGAGGCCTCGGATTTAACGTCCCAATCCCAAATAGACGTTGCGGCATGTTTGTACATCATGCATAGTCAAACTTTGGCAAGGTTTTTTACTGCCGATCGTAAGAAGACAAAGGTAACCATATTTATATACCCAGTCACCCTTTGACTTTTGGGTTATGAAATATCAAAAAATATTGAGGAAAACATATTTGATATGTAGAAGACCAAAAGTGTATAAAATTAACATTATCACAAAACATAGTACTTTTTTTTTTATTCTAGGCACAATCCAGTCTTACATACGGGGATGTTGTGATGGAAAAAACTTTTCGATAGAAGCAAGTCAAATTCCACGGTTAAAGTTTATTTCGGATAACAATCAGACACTGTGTGCTTACTATGAAAACAAAGGATTAGTTATGTGTGCGACAATGTGTGATGGTAACTTTTGTAATGGACCATCTCTGGCTGAATCTGTCCATATGTATTCCGTCGGATTGCTGGTTTTCTGCTCTATCCTTTTTGCACTATATATGACATAAAAGTCAATGCACAAAATGTATGTGGAGCAAACTATTTATATAGAAATTAAGATTTATGAATTGGTTAAACCTAGTATACATTTGCCCAATAATCCATAAATACAATAAAGCTGAATTTAATTTTGGATGTAACACGTTTTCTGATATGCTGAAAGTTTCAAGTTTGTCTATCAGCTCATAGACATAATGTTGTCATGTGACCTTGACGTCATCAACGTTTTTTCATGATTTACTACTTAAAAATGGAATTTAAAATTAAATTATAAGGAATGACTGGTAAAATTTTATAGCATTCTCCCAACCCTGCTGCAAATAAATAATAATAGAATACAATTAGTTTTGCCAATAATTATCATATTTATCCAAACTTTCTGCATAATTCTTGAAGAACTTATACGCAGTCTTGTTACCAGTATCCTGCACCTTAGAGGGATTTTGTAGTGATATTAACTCTAGCTATCGATTCTGATTTGCTCTTTGATTTTTCATCACTCAAGAATAGATAATTTAACTTTGTTTTTTGTGAACGATTAAGATACTCTGTTATTGTTTTACGAAATAAAAGTTTATCGTTGAATACCTAAATGTCTCTTTAATTTAAATAGCTTGAACAAAATTTACCATAGTTGAGCAACTGTCAAAATCTTTCGTGATCCTTGAGATACTATGTAACGTCTGCATTCAACCAAGTCTAACTACGGTATTTGTACACAAAAACATGTACATGTAATACATAACTAGTAGCTGTAACATATAACTATAGTATGTAAACATATCTGCTTATACATGTTAGACTCAGATCGACGTCCGGTCTCTAATCGACGTTTGTTCCTCAAATCGACGTCCAATGTAAAGTAATGTTCTCAAATCAGTGTCCAATATTTGTACCCTCTAATCGACGTCCGGTGTGACGTGTTGTATTTCCAAAACGTCCGATCGATTGGAGTCTCCTCTCATCTACGTCATTTATAATTTAATTATTTATTCTAAGTTTGATCTTTTTTTATATTATCTTTATCATTTTGGCTTTGTTAAAAGCTTCTTAAAGAAACTAATTGTTTTCATATATCTATATACTTTACACCTCTTAATGACTTAGTTGACGTGTATGAAAAGGAGCAACAAAGTAGGCAATCTCCCGTCCAAAATAATCAACTGAATAAACATAAAAGGACGCACATCAGTGAACGACAAAAAGACAAACGCCGACATCATATTACATGTACATGCATTTCAATATTTTGGTTAAAAACATTAATCCACTCAATCTTCATTGTCTTATTCCTTTGATATTCATATAAATAAATGACATGTAGATATAAGACAATGAGATAATAACCCAAAGATAAAAAAAATAAACGAAAGGCATCAAGGAGACAATTTACAGTCTCAAAAGTAGACAGAATAAAGAAGTTGTTGAAAAGTATGATTATTTGGAATCTGCAAGATTAAAAATCTGTTTAACATTTTTTTAGTTTTAGGTTCAACCAACCATTTGTATTCGGAAAATGCCTGTATCAAATCAGGAATATGACAGTTTTTTTTTTAATAAAGTTGTGACGTCATTACAGCAAATCCGTAAAAAGGACGTCGATTAGAGAAGCCAAATGTTGGACGTCGATTTGATAACAACAAAAAGACTTCGATTAAAGGGTCATACAATTGGCCGTCGATTTGGAATCTAATTTCACTATGACGTCAGATACTCTGATTTGAGGAACAGACGTGGATCTGAGTCTTACATATATAAATTACCGAACATTTACTTTGGATTTCATAACAATCACTACTCAAAATGGATCTTTCGACGTCTTTGATCGTTACGGAATATCACGATAGATAACGCCCTATATATTCCGTTTTTAGGTGCACATTTCGTTGTCCTTTGCACATTTCTGATCTATCACCAAATACAAAGCATTGTCATATTTTTTATTTCTGTTCGAAACACTACAAGTGCCACTAGAGGAGCAGAAATCGCTAACCCTTCCGGATAATATAATTCGCCCCTTCTCTTCAGGGCCTGTGATTGAAGCAGATCATTTTGATATCAATACGTTACCGTTAGAGGAAGAGGTTACTATACTATTAAGAGGAAAGTTTCCTTCCTTTTTATAAGAATGTAAGAATACACATTACATGTATCTCTCTCACGTATACAGTCCAATGGGTACTATTTGTGCTATTAGTCGACTTTTTGTTCTCATAAGAAGCAGAATTCACACAGAACCTTCTCAAAGAATAAAAGAAACAACATTTTACATACAATGTATATATTGATGATGTTCTGTCACTCCACATTTCAGCGAATGCTTACATCTCCCATATCCCAGTGAACTTGAGATTACGGATAATACCGAAACTAGAAGGTCTGCTTCATATATTGGTCCTTTTTTGATATTGGCACAGATATGACAAATGTTAAATGATTTCAACTTTCAAATTGGCCACTTCCCATTATGTCTCATCAATACTAGTAACATACCATCTCCCCCACGAGCATGTTCACAATATACGGAATTCATTGACAGGTGTGTGTTCCTAGCACAAAAGCTGCTCCAACAGTTACGAAGAAGAACGGATGAAATAAACACTGTCCAAGTTTCACGGTTACGTCTTGGTTGGTCGATGCGATGAGTCTGTGTTTATAGTTAGCAACTAAAACCGTAATAGCACTTAAAACAAGCGATAACTCTAGAAGCAGAATACAATAAAAATTAACAAACACACGAAGGAAATATGTTTTTTTTAGGTATGATGCTGCAGTATACATGTATTGATGGAATTGTGGGTAATATTTACAGACAAAACAGTAACATACTTACCACTCCAGCACGAGATCAGGGACTTAAACTCATTAAAACTTTAGCACCGTCTGAATTTCTTCGGGGAGGGAGTTCTATAGAGAATCGGAGCAGAATACCTAAAAGATTATTTCGCCATGCTTTGTTCAGTGTTCTCACGTGTGGTATCTGTAAAATATTAGAGTATCTGAAATTATATGTTAGACTCAGATCGACGTCCGGCCTCTAATCGACGTCCGTTCCTCAAATCGACGTCCAAATCTGACGTCACATTCTCAAATCGACGTCCAATATTTTGATCCTCTAATCGACGTCCAATTTGACGCCATGCTTTGCCAAAACAACGTGGTACTGACGATAACTGTAACAAAAATAAAATCTTACGTAATTTGGGTTACTTGAATTGGTAAAATCTGTTCCAAACTGACGCTCGTAGATAGCTCTGTAACTTTAGTGACTGCACTGGCCAATGGATTGAAATCAACATCTTCCTTAAAAATATAATAATTTTGTAAAGTTTTTTTCTCAATATTTATTTACATTGTTAGAGTAATTTCGCACTGTATGTTTTTAAATTTGTTGGCTCTTATTTAAACATATATCAATTTTTTTTACATTTAACGTTTCATTTTGATAAAAGTACATGCGAGGTTAATATACTTCAATGAGACAGTCAGCAAACAACATCAACAACAATGAATAGCATGTTTGATTGGTATAAGTTAGACTGCTTCTTGAGTGTTGTGTGGAATAATTATTTGTTATTATTTTACTGTTTGTAATACAATTAACTTTTAAAAAATATATGTAATCATCGTACAAACTGTGTAATAATTATTTTTCTATAATAAGACGTTTTTGGATTTTTTTTTTCATTCATTTTGTGATTTGTGTCGAGCCTGCGACTTTTGTCGCAGAAAGCTCGACATAGGGATAGTGATCCGGCGGCGGCGGCGTTAACTATATTTTCTTAAAAGCTTTATGTTTTAGAAGGTGGAAGACCTGGATGCTTCATACTTTGTATATAAATGCCTTATGTTACGAAGTATCCGTCTGTCACATGTCCATTGTCCTTGACCTCATTTTCATGGTTCAGTGACTACTAGAAAAAAAAGTTAAAATTTTTTGTAATGTTAATTTCTCTCTTATTATGAGTAATAGGATAACTATATTTGGTATGTGCGTACCTTGCAAGGTCCTCATGCCCATCAGACAGTTTTCACTTGACCTTGACCTCATTTCATGGATCAGTGAACAAGGTTAAGTTTTGGTGGTCAAGTCCATATCTCAGATACTATAAGCAATAGGTCTAGTATATTTAGGCCGGTGACCAAAGTCGGAATTATAAAAGTTTAATCGTCAAAAATAGTACACGGCTATATCATATATCATTCGATTCGAAAATATGTGTACTTTGAAATTAATTTGGTCGTCAAAAGAAAATATGGTGCAGTTTTTCAGAAATCAAGATCAAAGGTCACATGTCGTTTTCAAAGAAAAACAAAATTGAATATCCAATTCCAAATTAAATACCCTTTTTGCAGTAGAATGATTGAACACTTGAATCTATTTTCTTCCTTATTCTATTTTTCATCAAAAAAGTGGAAACTCATCATAAATGAGTTTTCCGAGAAAACGTATGCGCCTTTACAAAAAGGGGGGTGGTTTTTCAGTTTAAAAAGATGTATTTTTTTCAAATTATAAGAACAGCGGCCGTCAAAACTATACAAAATGTAAAGAAAAATATGAACAAACATGTAATTGCTGATATAAATATCTTTTATACCCCCAATGAAAGTGGAAACTTGTGTTTTGGGCATAAATGTTGAACTCGGTATATGCAAAAATGGCAACAAAAATTATTTCAGAACAGACTTATAATTGAGTTTAAACAATGTCATGACGTTTTTTATGGGATAAAATGTATTAATAGGAATATAAATCATTACAAAATAGACTAACAACTTTAAAAAGACTTTTTTTAATGATAGAACCGCCTTTTATTCGTTTAAAAATTGTGAAAGTTTCGGTTATTCAATCCCAACAAGATAAGAAATTTCCTCTATGCATGATAGTTTAACATCGCACTAAACATACGTAAGGAATGGTTTGTCTTGCTGCTTGCAACTCTAAATATCTCTCAACAAAAGTCAAGAAAAAACCATCTCTGATCGACAGTATACACTTGCCATGATTACATGACTGTAGACTGTGGAATGTTTCCGATTGTAGTGATCGTTCTGCCCTACGGTCTGGTCTGTATAATTGATTTGATATCTGAACTAGGTTAGCATTGATATCGCACTGCTGATGGCAAACAACTTGTTTCTGTAAATTTGTATGTGTACACCTTCCGGGGGCACACGAGATAACCTCCGGTTTTCAGTAAGGTTGGAGTAGATCTTTAGTTTTCTATGTAGTGTTTTGTAAAATTTTACGTCGTTCTTTGACTTTTGCCACGACGTTGTGATATTGTCGTCGACTTATAAGTTTGAATATCCCTTTGATATCTGAAGCCTGTTTTAAGCAGTTTTATGTTAGAAGCCCACCGCTGTTCATAAAGTCTATACTGGGTCAACATGCACGAGGATAGGGTATCAATTGAGATATGTAAACACCATACGATGGCGAAGAGGATATTATACTATTGAGACATGGAGAAATTGACAGTTCGAAAGTTAAAATCGTCATCCAAAGTTTGTCATAGATTTTTGTTTGAAGTCGTCAATTTGTGTCAATATCAAAGAAAAGGTCAAGATATGAAGCAGACATTCT